GAGAGAGAGAGAGAGAACTTTATTGAGACTGTGGGCTTATCATTTACCGTTGGTCGCTGATAGCACAGAAATCCTCTCGTTCGTCGATAGCCTGTGGCACAAAACTGGCCTGTGGTACATCGACGAGCGTGAGAATCGGTCCCGTAATTGTTCATCGCGCAAATTTTCCGCGTTTCATGTAAGCGAGAATGCAAATTCGGTTGGTGTAATTTCTCTACGGTGCAAAATCGAAAAAAGCCAGCGGCGCCGGTGTTATTTCGTAATTCGGTCTTCAATTGAATGATTGATTACTGGGAATTAAGTTTCAATAAAAAAATATTGAAAGAATAACTCTTTAGATCTGTTCATCTCGCAATACGTGTGCAAGGATGTTAAGATCAGCAACTGTTTCAGAATTCCTGTGGTAAACATAGCTGTTCCCGCATCTTACATCCGACGCCGATTCACTCGGACTTTTAACTTACAGTAAACTTTGTTGTAATAAGAATTTAATTCAGATCTTGATTGGAACGAGATATTTAATCAAGGTATTTATTTAGCAATTTTTTATTCGACAATTGTCATAGAATCCTCAATCTGCAAAGTCCAGTAAAATTTGCTTTTTAATTTCTAATAAATTTCTTGTGATGAGAAAAAATTTAATTCAAATCTAAATCAATTAGTTATTTATATGAAGATATATAATGAAGGTATTTAGCGATCTTTGCTTCGCTGTTTTCTACTCGGCGATTTATTCCGTGGATAAGACTCCGCGCAGGGATGGTAAAATGACAAGCTACGCCTACTTACTGACGTATGCGGCGCGACGCGTATTGCATCGATCCCGTAAATACACCTTACTGCCAACGGCATCGAACCATAAAAATAGTGTGGCTGAACGTAGGAATCGTCTCTGTGACATGTCGTGGCTAGCGGAATAAAACGCAGCGCGCTTGATTTGTACACAATGCCGAGTGCCGTGCGCGCTCATTTTTTACAGACGACCTGTTTCGCGATTTTTCGCGAAAAATAACACCCGTTTGTATGATACGCGATTCTCTAGTTTACGCAGCATATCTTTCTTAAAACTTGTATACAGAACGATTTGGAAGAAAATATACTTACACTTAGGCGATGGATTCAAAATTTAAGTGAAAAAATTCAAATATGATTTGTGAATGCAAATATGCAAAATATGCAAATATGCAAAAATGCAAATGTGATTTTTGATGACTGAGTTTATAAATAACAAATAAATTTACACACAATTACCTTTTGTAAATTTGATCACTAAAAAAATAGCCAAATTACAGTTAGACCTAGTTGTTATAGAGCTTTGATGTCTCTTAATATTAATTATTATAAATTCACGAGCACGAGCATAAAATCAAGCTAGCAGACAAAGTTTAAAGAATCTCGATGCAAAACTTCCAAATTTTCATCTAGCCGAATTTTCTATAAGATAAAACTCTATAATGGAAATTTCGCCTTTGTGAAAGTAAAGAAGTAATTTTCAATAGCGATTAATCAGATAATATAAGCTTACGGTAACTCGATCGTCTCATTCTCGGTTGCGAAACATCAATTGTTAAGCAGCTAACAGAGAGGGAAGATAAAACAAATTGCGCGACGCTAATTATTTACCGCTAAACACACCGCTAAGTCGCTTCTGAAAAGGCATTACGTTGACACGAGGGAAAACAATGAATCGGGAAACCGGTGGAACCAAAAAAAAAACAGACGAAATCGCAAAGACGTCCGGTTAACGAACACGCCTATAACGTCACCGTGAAACTGTAAAGTCGACAAGCGAAAGTTTCTCTCGCGAGAAGAATACGCACTCCATTGTTAGATAACATTTCCTATCTCCGCGATTTTTCATCATTATCGCTCGCCGTCACGTTCTACCCGCTTTGCCGAGAGCTCTCCTGCATGCCGCTTAAAATCGCCCCGATTTTCCACGAGCGTCATTTTATCTTAAAGGTCATTTTATGCGACATTAAAACGCCGCAAGAACTCCACAATCCCCTCCACAATATCTCCGTCGCTGCTTTTTTGTTACAACAAATGTAGCGGCTTTTGTACTTTCTTGCTTGCAATCACGCTTAGAAAGTCAGTCGGAACTTCTTCAAGGTGCCTCGATCGTCGAGAATTATTTTCCGTCGAGAAGATAAGCTTGCAAACTTGCATAAATACACTTGCAATTGTCGCTCGAAAAGCGACACAAAGGTAAATTTAAAATAAAAAGCGAACTATAATCATCGAGAGTCATAATTAGTTTACAAGCCAGATCCCGGTATCAAGTTAATTAATTATCTGTAAAGAATCTCTTAGACGCGCCAATTTCTCCCTCGAGGAAACGAGTGATCAAACGAACATTGTTAAAATATGAATTTGGACATCGCATTTGATAGATATTTAATCAGTGCTGCGATTGAAAATGTTGTACAAGGTCTAAATAACTATATGATTTCGGGCGTATACGATCGAGAGACCAAACGAAGCGACGACGTTTCTAGTTTGTTTCGAGAAAGGTGGGGAAGTTTGTAATTTAAGAATGATGTAAATTTTGCAGGACCGACCTTGGAACCACCGTTACCCAGGCGAAAGAAATGCCCGGAGCTCGCTTACAGGACACACGAATTTATCACGGCGGCGGACGGCGGTGGTATCGATGCCGTCGATTCGAATGTCGTAGCTGACAAGGTACGGACTGCGTGTAATTTGACAAATAAAAGATAAAATAAAAACTTTAACCTTTTGATTGCTATTGGCGTCATTCGTAAGATATAAAATATTGAATACAAAAATGATTACATTTGCAACGATAAGATAATTGAGCGATTAAACGGTTTTTTTGTTTTTTTTGTTTTGCTATAAATGCACAAAAAAGTATTCTGTTCACAAAAACAATTACTGTTTTAGCTCGGCCAGCATTACGCAGCATGAAGAATTCAATTGAATCCAAGAATGAAAAATAAATTAATGTCGAGAAAAAAATAAAATTAATGAATAATAAATAATAAATCAAAACCTTTGATAAATTAAAATGAATTTTAAGAGCATATTTATGATTAATATAAATTTTAATATGAAATTTAAGAGCGGAGTCATTTCAATGTGTGCGTCGGAGAGTTAATTGAGCGTGAAATATTGGCTTTCGCACCGCAGGAAGTTACGTCGGCACTGCCACCGAGTCAGCTCAGCAAGGCGATATCTCGTATCAGCACCGAATACCGACTGCAGTTCGCCTGGCCTAGGAGATCGCAGCTGACGAATGGCGAGACCCAGGCGCCGATTCCAGCGGCAGGAGTTCCCGCAGGCACCACGGGTCCACCGAGGAAATCGCTCAGCATGGGTGCCCTTAAGCAGGGCATGGCGCCTAGCGGACCCGCACCGGTTCACAAGAAACGACCCGGCGATTTCGATCACAAGCGCGATGGTACGTATTCATTGTTATGACAATCTACCGTCTCAACCAAAAAAAAAATCGAGAAAATTTCGCAAGTTCGTTGAATATAATGTATTTATAATTTTACAAATATCAATCTCTCGATAATATAGTTGAAAAAAAATTAGCACTAAACTGTAAAATACGATCTCATCATCCAAGATTTAATACATCCAGGGTTTAATTATATATAATGTGATTATATTTCGATTATATTTATGTGAGGAGCTATATGTAACTACAATATTTGCAAACTATACGTTTGCGACAATTTGTCGAGAAGAACTTTATTGTAATAATATACGATAACCGAACAAAAGACAGAGAAATGTTTCTAGCAAAGAAAAATATTGCCCCGTCTAATTGCACGTTATTTAAAGCGCGTCTTTTTTCCAACATTCCTCACAGGGGTTCAGGCGTCAGAGCTGGAACCGCTGGTAGGCGGCACCGGAACGGACACGATCGACGGCGTGGTACCGGAGGGCGACGAGCGCGAGGAGGACTTGTCGGATTTGAAAATAGCTTTCAGGTCAGATTGTCAGTTACGGGGTTGCGCTCAAAAATTCCGTGCGCGATACCCTCCGTAAGAAAGTAACGAAACGGGGAAACGAAATTTAAAATAAAAAAAATAATAAAAGAGCATCTACGACGATCCCGATTGTGAAGATGCGACGCGGCAAGTCGCACGATCATTACACGCAAAATTGATTATTTGCAGGGGTAAAAGGTCAGGTAGAACCGTACGGATATCGGACAATAAGGCGCCCGGCAAAGCGCAGCCGAGACCATTTCCCACGACGGAGGTGCTCGAGCTCCGGCGACTCGCCGACGAGTACAAGGTAATCTGTGGGAGAACGTGATTTGTTTCGTCATTTTCCGGAATCGAGCCACAGTCTCCTCGAGTTATCGCGCGTACCATATTTCCCCACATGGTATTCATTCCCCGGTCGATCATCTTGTATTCCTCGCGTCCATTCGGATACAACTGTTCGATTCAATCGTTAGGGCCGTCGAGTTTAATTCGTCAGCACTCGTGCATCGGCGAATAACCCTCCAATCGTCGAAATTATGCATGCTTTGTATCGTTCCCCTTGTTCAGCGATGTCTCCCCTAACGACAAAGTCCCATCTGTTGCAAGTTTGCCAAGCTGGATGCAAATCCTTGCTTTAAGCCACGCGATCATTCTTTGTACATTATATAATACAAAATTTTCTAACTCACTATTATACAACTTTCGATCGAATCGTCGCACACCTAAAGATCTTCTACGACGACTATCACCGAGTACGAGTCTAGTCGGTTATTTAATTTTGCACTACAGATTTCCGCGTCGAAATTAACTGTAAAGTATTTTTCACGATTCCACAATTTCGCGAGTAGAGTTTTAAAATTTAGTTTGCATCAGAATATTTATAATGTTTTTCCGAGCATGTTCTATGCCCTCTTAGGCCGAGTAGCACCGACGGTTTAATTAACTAACTCCGGTTAATGATTTGTCAACCATTCCAAATATTCAAAACATTCCAGACTTATCGAGTCACTTTCTATTTATGTGAATTCTCTGACCAATTCAAAGATAATTTTTTTTTTAGTTATAAGAATATTTAATGTGAAAAAAATTTGCAGCTCACGGAATTAACAATTCACAGATGAAAGATTTGCTGGTCCTGATATTCTGTCCGAAAGTAAATAATCTTTTGAATCCCCAATTAATTATGTGCATTATGATACACTATAGAATTTAAAAATTATTTCCACTTTTCAAAATTACAAATAAATAAAATTAATGTCCATCACGATAACGCCACGACCAAAGAAGCAAATAAATAGATAATATTACCGCTTTATGTATTATTTATCTCACGTTCTAATACACGAGAAGACAATAAAATTACTTTAATCTGGATTAGCGGACATCCCGGAACAACTGTTTCAGGATGATTCGTTTAATGGGAAAACAGGCAGATTAATCGGAGCTGATGTTGATTGGCATTGGTGCGGCCAGCTCTTAGTGTTATCCCTCTTAGAATGTGTGGTCGCGGCACCCAGTGGTAGATTAGATTGTCGTGGAAATAGCGACACACACAAACACACACGAACACAAACAGATGCTGATACCTTTTGGTTTGCATTAGCATCGTGACTGGGGTTGCGGTCTGGCGGCCGAGGACGAGGCTTCACTGTGGAAACGAGTCTCCAATAACCACGCGCTCAACGCCCTATCCCTTGCCAGGCCAGTACACTATGCTCCATCATTTTCCAACAAGAAACTCATTGTTGTTGTGTGTTGTTGTTGTTGTTGTTGTTGTTCTTGTTGTTGTTGTACGCAATTACGTTATTCTTATCCCGCTCGTTTTGAAGCCGTTCAAGCGTCGTGATCTACGACCATCTTGTTCAAAACGCGAAACGTTTCGTGGAAATGCATTTGTTAAACTTGTCAGAAACAACTTGTTGCGGAAAATTCTCTCAGTAGAACGTAGTACGTTTAACGCTCAGTGCAACTTTCGAATTTTAGCCTTTGTGAAATTCGGTTAACTAAAATTATTACTTAAATTTTTCGCAAATATTTTAGATACAAAATAGATACAAATTTTCACAATTTTCTAGATAAAAAATTGTAACTAAAAACTCATTTCGAGACAGTGAAAAATATTTCCATAAATCTATAGTTTGATCTCACTTTGTGTATCACCCGTGCACGCACTTTCAACATCAACTATCATATATATTTTTTTAAGCAACTCGCATCTCGATTCAATCTGTTGTTTCAAATTTGTCTTCGACAAAAATATGAATCTCTAACGATGCGTTTAAATAACTCAAGAATTTTACATCGAATAGTCACGAGCGCACAAAAAACACCGCCATCGAAATTATACATACGTCATTCACATTTGTTATATTTATTCATCATAAATATCGTTCACCATGGATCTCGCAAGAGAAGCGAGAACAGCACTCGCGGAGGAATTTGCAAAAGTACGCAGCGTGTTCGCACCTTCACACGGGTTCTGTCGTAGTTAGCTAGTTCGTTTCTTCGGTTCAAAGTGAATCGATGATCGAGCGTAATTATCACACGGACGCTTCTCCGTCGGCTGTTTAGGTCAGTTACGAAGGAGGAGAAGGACAAGGAAAACACGAGGAAAGTCGCGCCAATCACCAGCATGATCGCCACTATGCCACCGGCGGGTCGACCGTCCTCGGTATTGACTAGACCGATTCACGGCATATTGCAGGACGATAAAGCGGTATGCAAATGTCTCATTGAGTAGTTTACATTCTCGCGGAATCGGCTCTTATCGAGCATCGCATCGCTTGAGTACCGCAAAGTTGCAGTAAGAGACGCAGGTGATCTTTTTCCGTGACTTTAAAAGAACCTGAGTGCTACTTTCGCATTAATTTATGCAGGGTGTCCTAGAACGATCGTTTTCTTTTCGAACAGCAACTCTTGCAACTCTTATTTTTTAGCATCTTGACGCCAAAATAATTTTTTTTAATATGGACCACTCTCCATAGACAAATTAATATTGTCATTACTTCATCTATAATTTCAGGAGATAAATCTGAATTTAAAATTTCTTACGAATTCTAATTTTGTTGTAGGATAATGATCGAGCCATCGCTCGCGCAAGAAAGGATTTCTTGATCCGCCACCATCTCGATCGTACTACTGGTGTGGGTACGTGGTCGATAATTAGGCCGATTTAATTAATTTAAAAACAACGTAACGAGCAACAGCACCATAACAGACCGTAAAAGATGATTGATATCTATAATCCTCTTAATTAATAAATAAGCAAATAAATCACATGTGAATCGAATATTTTGCTGAATCAATTCAATCGCTTTTCTCGAAGTAATTTTAAAGGAAATTTTTGTTTGTCAAGGTGACGGTGCACTGCTTCCCTCTCCGACGAGAGAGAAGCTGGAGCCCGTGATTCCACGACGGCGCGACGATGCCGCTAAGGAGCATCGGGACGAGATTCAACCGCGAACCAAGTCCAGTCCGAAGAACAGTCCTAGAACCGGACGCTCGCAAAGCCTCGGCCCGACTGTCACCGATCGCAGATCGCCCAAACGTCAGCCTCCGCGTGCACCGTCTGTCACCAAAGAGGCTAAGGTATGTCAATCACCGATATTATAAAAAACGTAGAAAAAAATTTTCAACTCTCGCAATAAATTTCACCTTTTGTATTCGTTAACGTTAAACGAGAATCTAATATTTGTTTACGCAGTATATTTATTATAAAATAGATTTTACTTTTGAAAATTGATGTAAAATATACATTCGTAAAATTATAATGCTTATGTCACAATTCAATTGACAGATTAATACTTGAGACAGAGGAATGTCGTAGAAATTACATACGTTTTTCAAAACTACTCTTAATATTTTTAAATATATTTCAATGTCTAAAATTAATCGTCAGGTTAAATTGGTGATTATGTACACACGTGTGCAATTATAGATGTTCTACGTATTTTTCACTGTTCCTCGTGCAAATTTATACATATTTAATATACATAATTTAACTTGCATAATTAAATTTGTTTAATGGACAAAATTTGTCAAGAAAAGAAAACACGTTATTCAAAATACATTGTCTTAATTTGACACGTTAATACGCGTGAAATTGCTTGAACAGAGTTGCGATAGTGTTACGATACTGCGTCGAAATCATTGCGCCAAGTTTGTATATTAAAGGATTTGCTCTCGTTTGTCAAGGAGAAGGAAAAAGAGACGAAAGATAAGGACAAGGAACACAGGGAGAAGAGCGGTGAATCTGAAAGGCATCCACGACCGAGTAAGTAGCGCAAACCCAAACGACAGTTACGTTTTACGTTAGTCGTACCGAGAGTATCCCCAATCGGATTAGTGGCCCGAGGGATCGTATTGCCGAAACGATTGGAGCTCGTAATTTGTCAGTCGAGTCCCCTTTGCATTTTCGTGCATAAACTGGATAGAGTACTTACATATTTATATTACCTGCGACCTTTTAGACTGCTGTCTGCTCTTGTTGGGCCTCAAAAGCCAAACGTGTCTTTTTTTTCGTATATAATTATTATACTTATACAAATCGTACACCAAAAAGATGCTCACCGCTCGCGAGGTTGATTTCTAATTTAATTTCGCCGCTCTCACGCCATTGTTTACGTTATCCTATATGTAAAAATACAATATAAAAACAAAACAGTTTTTTGTAAAATTTGTGAAAAAATAACAAAACCAGTGTTAAAGGATTTGTTCCAATTTTTTCATATTTGATTTTTTATTTGCGTGAAAATTTAATACAAAACGAATAATAATTTGCTATAGTTATTTTATATTCACAGAGTTCATTCAGCATTAACAATTTAATTGCAAATATGTAAAAAGGTAACAAGAGCATACTTTCCGATTGATTTAAAAGATTCAAATTTTAATGTCACTTGATTATTACGTTTATTTTTCCACGCGTGCTAAAATATTTTTATGCAAAGCATTTGCAACGCGGTGAGCATCGGTTACTATAATTGCGTCGTCTCATTAATGTTTAGGCAGATGCATGATAGTTCTGTCTATTTGTCTCTCTCTCTCTTTTTGCCGCTGCCTTAAAAACCCTCGTCTAGTAATCAGTAGTTATATCGATAGATTTTGTATGAAAACTACTCGTACGACGTACTGTTCGCCTAACCTTCGCCGTCCTTCGCAATTGGGCGAAAAAAATTCTATTTCACCTCATGTGACAAATCATGACGATAAATTCCCACATCGATTCCATCATCCATAAACGCGCGACCGTCATTACATCTCATAATGATATTAAGAAGAAGAATTTGAGAAAATATATCGTCATCTAGTCATTAAGCAATTTGACAATATCTGTAATGTACTTTTTACAATTTAGACAATAATTTTCTTTAAAAGTAAGTGATCATATTATCAATGTGACAAACAAAAGAATTCAACATAATTGTGTAATTGATCAATCGTAATTGTGCTCTCAATGTTAATGATTCTTTTCTAATTTGTTTTTTATGCTTGATTCTTACTGCAACATTAATTACAAAAATGAAAAATTTAAAGTAAACTCTTAGAATAAAAAATAAAGTTCTAATAAAATAAACAACAACAAGGTTTAAAATAATTGTGTGTGTTCTATTGGCTTTGTGTGCGGACGTTTCAAATGTAGCCGTTATACGATAATTTAACGGAAAATTAATGTATCGCGTAATCTATAATGTTAAAAATTCGAGATATAATGTGTCGTTAATTAACCATAGATCCATCATTATCCTTCCACATCCCATGGATTTTCATTAACAGTGAAATTATCGATATACAATGTCAACAATATCAGTGTATGCTTAAAGAATCGCTACAGAAATGTGCGAAATTTCAACGGTGTAATCGCAAAAGCAATGTGCGAAGCTCAAACACGATTTTGTCACCATCGATGATCAACGATCGCCATCATCACGCAATAAGTCACGCTCATTATCTTCTGTAGACGACGATCTCTCTCTCTCTCTTTCGTCTCTCTCTCTCTCTCTTCTCTCTCTCTCTCTCTCTCTTTCTCTCTCTCTCTCTATCTCTCTATATATATATCTCTCTCTCTCTCTCTCTCTTCGATTTTCACGCATCAATTGCGCTATCGATCATTATCGCGCTTCATCACCTCACATCATCGTCATCGTCATCGTCATCGTCATCGCCATCATCATCATCATCATAATCATCATTATCATCATCGTCGTCGCCATCATCATCATCATTATCATCATCATCATCATCATCATCAGAACTATCATCATCGTCTTTCATCGTGCCTGCCTTCTCGCGATTAAAACTCTATTCCACTCATCCAACCTCTTTCGCAAAAAACCCTATTCTCTTTCTCTCATAAGTTCTCTCACGAGAATTGTACGATCGCGGGGAGAGGTGTCGTGAATTAGATTGATCAGGAGTGGCAGCGGGTGTTTCAGCCGCGGCGGGGCCAGGCCAACGTGTCCGTTGGAGCATACGGGAACCCGCGACTACGGTTTCCCCGGCGACTGGCTTGTCGACGCCGCCTATACCGCCATTACCGCCGCCACCCTCGGGCCCTGGGCCTGCTCCACTCCACAGGAGGCCCTCGCAAGCCTCGCATCGCAAATGTACGTTCACTGTACCTGGCCACGAACCCGCTCGCCTCACGTCGGTCCGACAATTTCAGAATTACCGCATACCACGAAGAACCCTTCTGTCCCCTTCTGTCCCCTTCTCTCCCCGTTTTGTAATTCACCCCGACCCACCCTGACTCGATCACGACACGATCTTTGACTCGCGTCTTTAGACACGCCGTAGACCTTTTGTAGATCACCCAAAGCGATCCAGGAAAAGCAGGGCGTAAGAAGCTCGATTCACAGCGCGATTATTTCTTCGATCACGCGTCACTTTTTGTTTTTTCCTTTTTTTTACCGTTGCGTGATTATTTTACTTTTGGTGCATAATTACCCATTGATCTAGCCAAAGAATTTTGTATATACGCCGAGTACACATAGCGAAATTGATTGACAAACGTGGGTACTTTATATGAATTTTTATTTGAGATCCGAATCGCTTCAAGCGCGCTCACATTCGAGTATTCCTCGAATATTTGACTAGTAGTACAAAATACAAAATATGAACGTATAATTTAAATACGAAAGAGCATGAAATTGTATGCTTTACACGGAGTTTAAATAACAACGAAAAAACTGTTGTATCGTGAAAAATTCTAATCGTTGAAAGAGCTTTGAATCGACTTTTATATTACATTGCATCTACGTCGAAATAAAATAATAGTTTGAATCAAAATATAAAATTTTCAGAGAATAATTCTAATGCAATGCACAACACTCGCTTCGGGATAGAATTGTGTTAATTAATTAGCGCGTGCGATCGAGCGGTATGAAATATCAGGCCAAGAGTCAACATCGACGCGGTCGACCGCTGCAGAAAAGCGCGATGACATATCGTGGTTGATACGATCCATCTCCGCGGTTGTAATTAAGCTCGTATATACTCGACTGTGAGCAAACGATTAATCTATTTCGACGTCTCCGAGAATATATACCCGTCAGCCCTATCAAACCCCCTGCAACCTGCTTCCAACAACGAGAACAACGGACTCCTGTAGGAGCGCATCCTCGCTTGACAGAGCTCGATAGATTATAACACGAATAGTGATGCTGCTGAAGGCACGATAGAATTCCAGCTGCCGCTGGTACAGCGTAAAATAATATAGGTACATGTAATAAAATAAAAATATAACACGCGTGATATAAAAAAATACTAAATGTATTTCATACAACTTAGTTGTTGTATTAATCTTTTGAATAAGTGAAAAGAAAATATGTACAATGTTATTTTGGTATATGAGAATGTTACGAATTCCTATCGTGCTTCAACTTACGCATCGTTGTTTATCTCAATCAAATCGGGGATCGAAATTATTGGAATATCGATATATCAAAGTTTATATTATAAACGAGCATCGTTGAAATTAATATGCAATTGTGTTTCGACAAAATCTTTTTGGATCTTAATTGATCGCCTCAAAAACCTATATATGTAAAACGCAATTCTATTATCTGTCACTCGAATGGAATTTATCGAGAATCGAACGGTTATTGACAAAATTACAGTACAGCGAGCCATGGCTATGAAAAGAATCTTCAAAACGTTTGCGTCTTTTGAGATTAAACTTCTGCAAAGAGAACGGTCACTTATTTTCCCTTGGAAGCTTTCCTTCCGCGTCGAGTTTCGCGAGAGCAAAGGGGCACCAAGGACCCAGCGACTTCTGACAAACGATGTCGGTTTCGACTTCCGATGAAAGCTGATCGTCGCGAGTAGACAGACGTGCGTCTTGCGCGCAAGAAACGACTCAGAGCTCTATTCATCAATTTGTACTCTTTCTTGTACGATATGTTCTAGCCTTCCTCGCGACCACCGCTCCTCCCCATCGCCCTCTTCATCACGCCAAACCCACAACCACCACCACCACCAACACCACTGTCACTACCGCTAACAGTAGCGCAAGTACTACCGCCCCGGTAAAACGTTCCCCGGTAAAGCATTCAGTTCACACGACCGTCCATCACCCACCTACGTCGGGCGCTGCCGCTGCGGCCAGGCCGGAGCGCGGCGTTAAAGATTTAAGCCAAAGGTACCGAGGTGCGAATGACGAGGCTCAGGCAAAACTGGCCCGCGGGCATCCAGCAGCTGCGGCTGCAGCCGCCGGCGATGATCCATCATCCAAATCATCCTCCGATACGCGATCCGCGTCAAATCGAGCCGCTACTACCGTCGTCCAAGCTAGTAAGTAGCATGTTGTCGTGATTCAACAACACGTCTCGGTTTAATATAGTCTCCCGCCCTTATTTCTTTTTTCTTTCTTTTCTTTTCTTAACGTTGTCCAGTTGTCGTTAGCCAGTGTCTTTGCTTCGTGTGCTCGCTGTTCTGTGTGTTTATACATTGGTGTGATCTTGATTGGTACGTAAGAGATCTTTGTCTATGTCTCTCTTTGTAAGCCCCTCTCTCTCTCTCT